CTGCAAAGATCCAGAACAAACACCACTTCACAACCTGTATTACTATCAGTGTCTCATCTGCTACTTAAAATCTCGGGCAGTGGCTCTGTTGTCAGAAAGAACCAAATGTCCTACCTTGCTGGACACAGTCCCTGGGGCAGTCCCAGGGCTCGCAGCCAATGCCAACACCACTGACGCCGCAGTGCCCAGGATGGCAAAGGCTCTGCTCTGCTGCCTGGGGCCTCCAGCGCGGCTCGCGTCTGTGGCTCCGTTGTCAGTGACGTGCTGCGCAGGGCAAGGGGCAGGGCGGCCTCCGTACCCGTGCCTAGTTCTGTCCTTGTTATTGTTACTGTTATTTTATTAACATTAACACTAAAAGGGCCCTATTTTTTAATTAAATTGTTCCCTCTCCCCTGTGTATCTTTAGGTCCATATATTAAAATAAGATATATTTTATTATGCTGTTAAGTCTCTGTTTTAGTTTACTTTGGCAAAGCCACTGCCCAGAGCGAAGCTGAGCAAGTCACCCAGCCAGAACACCCGTGCCGCCCAGCGCGCAAGGGAGGGACAGGCCGGCGCGTCCACCTGCTGTGACACTGCTGAGGCGGGCCCAGCGCCAGGCAGCAGGCAGCGGTGACAGCAGCGCTACACGGCGCGGCGAGCGGGGCGACGTCAGGCCTGAAGCAGCCCCTGTGCACACGCCGGCCTCCGCCGCGCTCCCTGGTTGTGCGAGTGTGTTCCGGGAAAGGCGCTGCCTTGGCAAGCGACTCCTCACCACGGTGCGTTTTGGGGGCCCAGGTTTCCTGTGGCAGGGAGTTCCAATAGTTCCTGACATTTACATAAACAAGCCTTTAAATGGAGATGAAAAATGCCATCTGGAAAGGTGAATTTTAACCCTATGAAGTCAAGTCAACAAATAGTTCTTACTGGGACATAAAGTTAGAATACAATTTATATACTATGACAATTCTTTGAATTCATGCATAGACATTTGCTGTCTGTCTTTTCTTCCATGCAGAAACCTAAAGTTCAGAAGTCTGGAAATGCCAACTAAAATACTGAAAGATGAACTATAAATATGTCACACTTTAATGGTTCTGACCTATCCTGTAACCACAAATCAAGTAATAAATTACTTTTATTTGCAAAAAATTAAGAACCACCATTCATTCCTCATTATTTTACAACAACCCTTGTGCAAAGTGATCAAGGACGACAATGTGGCACAACCTCAGCCAGGGCAGTGGGAGCAGGGAGGACACAGCTCATAAACACCAGTTCCCTGCTCTTGTTCTGAAAACCAAGTCAAACAACGGTATCTGGCTGAAACAACGGTGAAAGAGCAGAAAATTGTTTACCTTCAGAATTGCAGACAAAATAAACCCATCCCCCTATTCACAGAAATAACTTGTAAATATTGTGACTTATTAAAGCAATAAGGATATAATTCATTTCACCTCCTGAAAAAAATCAAAACAACCCTTTCTTAACCCCCGCGAGAAGCCTGAGAGGTTGGCAGTGCAGACCACAGCTCCTTTTATAGGAACAGGCAGACGAGGGAGACGTTGCCTGTCCAAGTTTACATGTGGCTCAAAATAGATTCAGAGTCCGGAGGGCTGCCAAGCACTGGTGCAGCTGTGGCGCCAGCTTCGCCTGGGCTGGGAGGTCCAGCGTTGTCCCTGCGTGCTGTAGAGCCAGTGTCCATGGAGGGACCGTCCTCCCCCGGGGCCCTGGCACCAGGCCCTGACCTTCCTTTGCTGCCCACAGTGGCTCATTCAATCATTTTCACTTTCTGAGCAGGACAGGTGGATGTGCCCTCAGCCCCCAACACAGCTGTCCCCAGCCAGGCCAGGAAAGTGAAAGTTTGCTTCTGAGAAAGATTCAGACCTACAGGAAGGAGCCGTGTGGTTTTCCTGCCCCAGGCTCTTGACCGGAAGGCCGCTGCCTGGCCCAAGTGCCCCGCGCTTGGGGCACTTCAGCCCCACCTTCTCCTGGGGGGTCGAGGACACGTGTTCTTGGCTGCTACCTGGCCCAAGTAGCATGAGAGGGGCTGGGTGGCAGCTTGAGCTCCTTTTGCCCTTGTGCCTGCCAGCACGTCTTCCGGGAAGCTGGAGCCACTTTCAGGTGGGGCAGTGGACACACCCCCTTGAAATTTTTAGCTTAAAACTCGATGGGAGCCACCGCCTGGCAGCCTGCAGCGAGGGAAATATAAGGGGAAGGGGGCGGGCCTCACCCAGTTCCCTGAGAAACCCAGAGCTCTGGGTCCAGTTCTAGCCCAGGCAGCTCTGGCCCAGGCATCAAAGGACAGCTGGGCACAGCTGGCAAGGCTGGCAAGCCACCAACAGACCCACTATCTCATCTCGGCAGGGCCCTGCAGCAACTGAGGTTAAGGAGAGAGAGGGTGTGTTTATCATGCTCCGTGTGTACACATGTACACATGCACACATACACAGCTACACACTCGTGTACAGATATACTGACATATATGTATAAATGCACATATCTAACTTTGCTGTTAAAGGCCCACAAGCACAGGAAGCTGCACGAAACAAACCTGAAGCTTAATGGAGTGTTGGAAGGCACTTACGCCTGTGCTCCCCAGCCCTGCCCTCCCAGAGGCACTGCTGGACTGGGCATTGTGGCCATCACTTCTCTGCTTTTCTTTATCATATTATTACCCAAGTGACATTCCTACACGATGGAGCTTGGCTTTGCCTTTTATCTTTGCTCATGCATTGTAAGTCAGGAAGCTCCTGCACCTGAGATAGACATGTTTCTGTGTGTACCTTTAGATGGCACGCATGTGCATGTGCATGGGCATGGGCATGTGCATGCGCAGGAGTGTGTATGCAGGTGCTATAACATGCTTAGGACAAATTAGCACTCCCCCTCCATCAGCCCAGTGCCCTACTTCTAGAAATGTCAATTATGGACTAAACAATGCACAAGTACAAATTAATACCACAATTCAAAAAAATAAAACTGCTCATGGGACCTCAAGCCCGAGCCCTTAGAACAATCCCCGAATGAGTCCAAGCCACGCCCAGAGCCAGGCGTGCCCACGTGTGCCCCTCACTGTCCCTCGCACACTTCACTGGGCACCAGTGCGTGGGCTCCGCCTCCTGCAGCTCCCGCTTCCCCAGGGCTGGCTGGCGGGGCTCAGCACGCCACAGCGCGTGGCCACAGGGGACCCCACCATAACTTGGGCTGATTGCCAAATGCTCATGAATTTGGGGGCCAGTTGTTACACTCAGCCTTTATTAAAAATTAAAATGTATGAATTTGCAATTAAATTATGTTAAAACCCAAGGTAATAAATACAACCCATCTCTTCCTGCCTCTCGGGGCTGTGCCATCGCCTGTGCTCGCCAGCCTCACGTGCCTGTCGTGTGTGTCCGGTGGAAAAGCTTCACGACAGCGGGGATGCACCCCCGCCCAACTGCGTGTTTGGGGACGTGGCCTTGGCAGCTTCCGGCTGGCCATAGTGGGAGTATTCACACCATGGAAACTGGCAAAGCTACAAACCAGGAGCCCGTAAACCCACACCTGGCACACCACACGTACACACACCACACACAGTGCACCACTCTGCCCCCCCAGACCCCCAGAGGTTAGGAACTGGAAACTCAGCATCTTCAAGACAGCCTTCCCCACCGGAGACCTGGGGTGGCCTCCCAAGTGTGAGGGGTGTTGGCTGTGTCGCCCGGCAGCCCAGGGTGGGGCGGGCCCTGAGCAGGCCCAGAGCCGGACTCGGGCCCAGCTCAGGCTGCCACGTGGCCAGTGCAGGCCAGAGGGGCCGTGAGGCCCGCTGAGAGGAGCAGCCCTGCCCAACGGGCCCTCCACGAGGCAGCAGCGGCCGACCTTCCATGGCAGCCCCTGTCCCTGGCAGCGTCTGCTCTCCCTGGGAATGGTGGTGTGCAGAGCCTCCGCACCAGGCACCACGGCCCGGCCTGCCTGCCTGGACAGCCTGCTCCGCGGGAGGACCAGTGGGCTCTGCCTGTGCTGGGATGAGACCAGGAACCTGCCGCCCACTTACCCAGTCACCTCCCAGTCTCCTTCCCGGCGGAGCTCAGGTACAGCTCCTGAAACCCTGGGAATTTACTGTCTTTTGTGTGCTCACGAGACGGCTGGTAGCAGAGCCCTGGATAGTGTCAGAACGAGGGCTGGTGGCCAGAAAAACTACCACCGCCCTGTTTTATCCTCAACCCAGAGGAGGGAGAGGGCTAGGGATGGAGCCAGTCAGCAGTGGCCAGTGATGAAATCAATCATGCCCAGGGGTGGGAGCCTCCATCACTCCCCTAAACGATGGGGCCGGGGAGCTTCCGGGCGGTGAACACACGCACGTGCAGCGGCAGGTCACCGGACCAGGCCTGGAAGCTCCGCACTCTCCCACCTCCTTCTCCTAAGCACCTCTTCCACTTGGCGGTTTCCAGCTGTATCTTTCATAATAAAACTGAAGCCATAAATGTGTCGCTGTCCTGAGCTCTGTGGGTCGTTCTGGCAAGTTACCAGGCCTGGGGACAGGCCATGTGAGCCCAGACCTCGCAGCTGTTGCTGGTCAGCAGTGCAGGCGGCTGGGGACCTGCTGTGGCAGGGTCTCCGGGAGGCGGCCCGCACCGCGGCGTCAAGCGCATGGCGGACACCAGCTGGTGCTGAGAACGGGAAAACTAAGAACCAAGAATTGCGTTTGGAATGCCACTGGCCAAGTGCAAAGGCAGAGACTTGTGCCCTCTCAAAGAATGCCAATGCTCCTAGGTTTTTTGTTTGTTTGTTTGTTTTGTTTTGTTTTGTTTTGTTTTTTTTGAGACAGAGTCTCACTCTGTTGCCCAGGCTAGAGTGAGTGCCGTGGCGTCAGCCTAGCTCACAGCAACCTCAATCTCCTGGGCTCAAGCAATCCTTCTGCCTCAGCCTCCCGAGTAGCTGGGACCACAGGCATGTGCCACCATGCCCAGCTAATTTTTTCTCTATATATTAGTTGGCCAATTAATTTCTTTCTATTTATAGTAGAGACGGGGTCTCGCTCTTGCTCAGGCTGGTTTTGAGCTCCTAGTTATTTTCTAACGCGGCGTTCAAGGGCAACCACTGCACCTTCTCCTGCGGCCTGTGGAGGGCAGTTCTCTGGCAGACCATTCCCTAGACACCCATCATCACAGAGAGGTTCAGACAGGTCTAGAAAGCTACAGTCCTCTGCAGGGTCGGCGGGGCCTGGGCTCCCCTTCCTCTGCCTCCCGCCTGTGCCACCCACAACTCCAAGCCCGAGACCCCTGCTGGAGCCTCGCCTCACAGGGACACAGTGTCCTGACCTTCGCACCTGGGGCCTGGGCGGTGTAGGCTTTCTTCTGTGTCTTCCCAGCAGGGTCCCCTAGGCGGGCGCTGCCGGGGCAACTTGCAGCCAGTGCACCCAGACTGCAGGCATGGCAGCGGGAAGCAGGCCCGAGGTAGAGTCAAAAGCCACACCCTGAAGTTGGCCTGCAAAGTGTGCCACACCTGCAGGGACATCTGGCAGGGAGCCAGTTCCAGCCGGTTCCAACGGAGAAACATGGAGAGATCCCTTACCCCCCTCTGCTCCATCTGCAAGCAAAATTGCTCATTGCACCAACGTGCATCTGGAAGTCACCGTGCAAGGTGTCACCTGACCTGCATGTGCAGCCCCTCGCAGGTACCGTAGTTTGTGCAGGGAGGAAGAGACCGCTGGAGAAGATGCCAAGCCAATGTGTTGAGGGAAGGACAAGGACAGTGACATGAACAGGACTCTGGGTGGCGAGAGGGAGGGTAGTGCCGTGGGGCCGCAGGGCAGTCACTCCGTCTCAGACGGCCTCTGAAATGGAGACAGCGCGCCCGTGTTGCGGCGAGCAGGAGCGGGAGGCTGCATGGGTGTGAAGGGCCTGAGGAAGGCTGGCCCACCGGGAGGGCGCCCGCCAGCCCCAAGCCTCAGGCCCCAGGGGAAGGGACCTGGGGAGCAGCCCAAGCTGCCAGCGTGAGAGGCAGCAGCTGCAGGGACGCTGGAAGTGAAACACCGACAAAAAGTTGAGACCAGAGCAAAAGGGAGGAGAGGCGCAGGCATCTGCTGAGGTCCTTCCAAGGGCCGGCGCGCTCGCGGAGCCTCGGCCGGCTCGTGGGTCTGCGGGGGTGTCCCAGGCGGCTGCTTCATCTCCTCGCCAGCGACGCAGCCAGAAAACCCAGATCCAGGTGTGATCTCTCCCGGTCAGCAAGCAGTGCCCTCGGCCCAGGAGGGCAGGCTGGCCGGCGCGCTGGCAGTCCCCAGGGACGCCTGCAGACGGAGCAGAGGGACGTCGTCCCCGGAAGCCACAATGCCCCAAGTTTGAATGTTTCAGAAACAGCTTGCTTTGTGCGCAATGACTGCCCACGGGTCCTGCTCCTCCCCTCCAGAAACGCAGCACACGGCGTGAACCACCCGCTGCAGCCCTCTGCCTCGTGCGCCCTGTGCCCGCTCCGCAGAGTGGCTCCCACGGCAGGCCCGGCACTGGCTTCCTCACCATCGATCCCGGACGGCGTGTGACACAGTGCCAGCAGGCTTCCCCGCCAGCACGCAGCTGCAAGGCAAAGGCCACACAGACCATCTCCTGGGGAGGACTTCCCTTGGAAGTCAGCTGCAGGACGTGGAAGAGTGAGGCCGCGCTTCACGGCGCAGCGCCCCAGCCCTGTGTAGGGCATGGTTCTCCCGCAGGGCCCCCGGCCCCTCCACTGTGGCTGTTGAGTGCAGACCCACTCTCCCCATCGGCTCCGGGACTCTGGGCCAGGCCACCCTCAGTAACTCCTGGTTGCATTACTGGCCAGCCTGTCACCATGGAGCCTTCGTGCGCCTGAGGTGGCCTGAGGGTGCTGTCTGGGCCATGGAGATGCAAGGGCCTTTTGATCAGTTTCCCGGTGTTGTGCTGGTCGGCGATGCAGTGCCACATGCCTGGCACATGGTGAGGGGCAGAATGCATTGCTTTTGCTAATAGGATAGGTTGTCCAGTGCTTGCTGAATTCCATGAAATTCTTTCTTCTGTCTCTCCCTCTCCATCCTTGCCCTGGTCACTGGACTGGTCCTATGTAGATTCTGGGAGAAATCTTGTGTGTCAGTGTCCTGCAGTTTCTGTCTCTTAGCAAGGAGCCTGGCCCTCTGCCCGTTCCCCGTGGTGACCTCATCTGCCCTTTGCCCCCAGCCACCGTCAGGGGCGTAGTTCTCCGTGGGGCAGCAGGGCGGTGTGCGGTGCGGTTACGTCCCGAAGCCTGTGTTTGCAAACAAGCCAGCTCTCCCTGGCTGACGTAAGTGGGAAAGGAATTCATAAAGTGATGTTAGAAAGCTTTCATTTCAGGAGGGCTTGAGGACAATAAGGGGACGCTCTAGGCCCTGGCAATACAGGTAGGGGACACTCGCCTCTGGCCTCCACCTTGGCTGCCCTGTGGGAGGGGACCGCTGGGCCCCTGGTGGGCCAGGGGCACCTGACAGCTCTCCAGGGGCCCATGCGGGGTACGTGGGGCCACACCCCAAAGAAAAGCAGAGTGCTGTCACTGGAGGAAGGGGATGAGGTGCTGGACCACACATACACACACACACATGCTCACACTCACACACGCATGCACACACTCGCATATGCACGCACACACACACAATCGCATACATGCACACATGCATGTACTCTCACACTCGCTCACACGCACTCACACACTCACAGACCACACACGTACTCTCATACACACTCACATAAATACACTTCCTCTTAACTCCCATGTACACACACTCACACACACACACACACACACACACACGTACGCCCACCCCCACGCACACACTCCGAGAGCTGCCTGGTGCCGAGGCACGGTGGCCTCCAGAGCTGTCCCCTGTCTGCGAGGACCGAGGAGAAGCAGAGCAGGGCGGCAGGAGTGACCGTCTGTGGGAGCCACTCTGGGGAGACAGCAGGAGCCAGGGTCACCGCCTGGCACAGGGCTTACCTGAGGGCAGGGAGGAAGCCGGAGCCCGCTGGGTACCTTGTCAAGGTTTCTGTGAGCCAGTTGTGAGAGGTGGCTGTTGTTGAAAACTAGACTATACTAACCTATCATTAAATAAATTGTATCAAAACAAAGACGATGCCTCGCACTCCTGGCTCCCTGGTCACTTCCCCGCATTTTGCCGTGCGGGGCTCTCCAGGTTGCTGACCTCCAGCGTGGAGTTGCCGCTGATGTGTGGCGTGCCGTGCCGTGCCGTGCCGCGGCGTGGCGTGAATGCAGCCTCTCCTCCTCCTGCCTCTGCAGTCGGCGGCCTTGCGCTGCCACCTTGCAATTGGCCAGTGTGGGTGGATTGGCATCGTGGAAGTCGGCAAAGGTGACAGACCAGGGCGTCTGTGCTTTCTGGAGAGCCAGCGTGAAGCCTCTACAGCACAGCCTCGGCTGGATGGCCCGCTGCTGCACAGGTGCCTGCGGGAGACGGGGACGGGTCCCGTGGGACGCCTGTACATCTGCCCTCGTCAGACTCGCTCCCGGGGTGGGGGTGGGCGGGGCGCTGGCTCCACAGCATCTCTGGCCCCCCTGTACATGGCCGAGCTGGCACCAGCACCCAGAGCCTCTCAGGCCCAGAGCCAGGGGCTACGGCCAGGGCACAGCAGCTGCAGCTCCAGGGACCTTCCCTAAACCGCCCCCCCCCCCGTGCACGTGTCCCTTGCACCCCCTCTGCACTCATCCTGCGGCCTGACATCCATGCGTGCTCTGACTTGGGCTCACCTGCCCCACTGCCGTGGGCACTGGCTCCCTCGTGGCTGGCTGTAGACCCTCTCACTGAGGGAAGTCGTGCCCTGTGGTCCCAGGAAAGCCAGACACCAGACGGCGCAGGTGGGATGTGGGGAACTGAGCCTGGAATTCTCCGAGGGGTTTCCAGAACCCAGGAGACCTGAGCCAGAGAGGCTGGTTCTTTCGCCAGCTCTACACCCTTGTGCGTCAAGACGGCCAGGCTGAGTGCACTCCGTGCTTGGGTGCCGGGCGCCCCGCCCTCGTCAGGAGCCAGCAGGCTGGGTGGGGCGGGGACCGGACTCTCCCACAACGGCAAGCCCTCGGTGGCTGCCTCCTGCCGCTCCTCGCACTGTCTCAGCACGGCAGGGCCCTTGCTGCCTCGGCCTGCCGGTCAGGGGTGTTCTCTTTGAATGTATTTCTCTCGCATCTCAAAGCACAAGTATAAGATACTTATTTGAGCCGTGTATAACTTGTCTTGCAATGCCCATATATAATGTTAGCGAACTCGTTCCATCAACTAATTAGAAAAAATTAAAGGATGAAGCGATTGACTCAGAAGAAGCACACTTGGGCTTTCTTCCAATGGAACTGTAGTATAGCACTTTGAGGAAACAGGCCTTTGGATGCATTTGCCTGAAACAAGTGATTCCCACATCTTCTGCTGCAGACTCGGCTCCTGGCTCTCTTGGCGGGCAGGTGAGTCAGACGGGCACGCCCAGGACCAGGCTCCAGATTCGACAACACCAGCTGCTGTGAAACTATCATTACATGCTACAAACCCAAACAGGCCTGAACTCCATAACCCGTTCCCTGGGCAGGCACAGGTGCCAGGCGGAAAGTTCCCTGGAGTCAGCCTGTCAGAACGTGACCTCCCTGAGCACACAGGCCCAGGCGCCTGGCGGTCACGGCCATCAGCAGAGCCGCTAAACAAAGCCTGCCCCGTGGGCTCCCGCCGCCCAGAGGCCGCGCTGGCTTGTGAGTGTCAGCAAGGCCCCCGCTGCAGTTAGGAAACAGGCGGAGGGCTCTGGACGCCACGTTGTTGACTGCATCACAGCGACTAGAAATTGGGGCAGATACACCCCATGGCTAGACTCCAAGGTGATTTAAAATATCTGGGCAGTAAAACATCTTTCTTTTTTTTTTTTTTTTTTGAGACAGAGTCTCACTTTGTTGCCCAGGCTAGAGTGAGTGCCGTGGCATCAGCCTGGCTCACAGCAACCTCAATCTCCGGGGCTCAGCAATCCTACTGCCTCAGCCTCCCGAGTAGCTGGGACTACAGGCATGCGCCACAATGCCCGGCTCATTTTTTGTATATATATTTTTAGTTGGTCAATTAATTTATTTCTATTTTTGGTAGAGACGGGGTGTCGCTCAGGCTGGTTTCGAACTCCTGACCTTGAGCAATCCGCCCGCCTCGGCCTCCCAAAGTGCTAGGATTACAGGCGTGAGCCACCACGCCCGGCCTAAAACATCTTTCTTAATTTCCGGTTGGAGGCGAGTGCTAGAATTCCATAAGGACTGACATGCGTGTATTACTCACCATCAAACCTCACTTGGCCCCTGATTTCAGATTGGTAAGAGATCAGACATCTATTCACATGATATGTTTACTTTTCTATATAGCTATGATATAATAAAATCGATAACCATTTTAACTCACTGCTGTAAAAGGCAGGTGCTCACTAGCGGCTTCATTCGGACAATCCCTTCGTCGTGCTATTGCTGCTGAAGACTCCTACCCAGCCAGTCCGGATTTTCATTTTTCTCCCACGTTGACAGAAAAATCCTTTCATTTTCTACTTTGCCTTTTATTCTGTCTTTATTTCTTCTTTCAATTTTTTAGGATTTTAACCCTTATAACCATTCTGTGTTCTGTTGAAAGCAGAACAGGCCTATTCTGAAAGAAACTCTGAGCCTCTTCTGGACCCTCCACCTTCCTTGTCCACAGAAGCCTCATGAACCCAGGGATTGACGCACCCCTGCAGGAGAACCTCACATAGAGTGAGCAAGGAGAAAGTAGGGCACCCTTCTGAGGGTGAGCCTCTCTCTGCCTGTACCCGCTCGCCCCATGCTCAGGAGAGAGGCCCCTTCCCAGCCCCCACCACCAAGTGACAAGAGGGGGAGAGGGACGAGGAGAATTTGGAGACGTGGAGGAGGAGGGGTTGGCCTGGAGGCAAGGGATATCCCTCGATTCTAGGGAGAAGTGTGAATCTGAGTGGCCTTGGGGAGGTGGAGGTCTGTACCAGAGCTCTGGGCACCGTGGGGAGGGACAGGGCTGCCTGGTGCACCTGGGCGTCTGGCTCGGGCTGCACCGGCTGCATAGCTGGCCAAGATCCCAGTGCACACACCAAGCCTGGAAGCTCTGGGACCCTCTCTGTCTGCCTCTGAGGGGTATCTCAGCAGTCATCTCAGTGAGCCAAATAGCAATGGTCTTCACCACATTTTCTGAGCACAGTGTGAGCCCCACAGATGTGCATGGGAGTCGCTTGCACATGGCTAAGACTGAATTTTTTTACCAGTCAACTTAGTGAGACTTGAAATTCATTTTTTGTTGATTTAGAAAAATAGTGTGACATTTCTTGACCTTGAGTACAGTGGAGTGCATCAGCTAGAATCAAAGTCAACTGCATAGAACAGAAGTGACCTGATAGCAGCTTAAAGAAGATGAAAATTATTTTTATCTCACATAAACACAGTGAGAGTCCAAAGAAGTCAGTTCAAGTCCAAAGAAGGCAGTTCCAGCCTTCTTCCAAACTTCTATTTCATCATCCTCAGCAAGTTGTTTCCAACAGCAAGGGTACCTCATGGCCCAAGATGACTGCTGAAGCTCAGCCATCATGTCTGCATTCTAGGCAGAAAAAAGAATAAGGTGAAATAGCAACAGAGCAAAAGAGAGTGTGCCAGTTATCCATCCTGATTTTAATGAACTTTACTGGTAGCACCAGCCAACATCAGCTGCTTAAATCTCAGGGGCCAGAATTTGGACATAGCCACATCTATCTGCAATGCAGGCTACAAAATTTGGATTTTATAGCTGGACTCATTGCCATTTCAAAAAAAATAAAGATTCTGTGGCTGAGGAAGAAAAAGAGGTGGGCAAATTATAATCTATCACCTAAAATAAAATTAATGATTAATATTGGTACCCTACCCTCAAATTCTTGCATCCAATTTTGCAGGTACCTTACAGTCTACTTGCCTAAGTTGAGAGTTAGTGATGGATAGTTCTTTATTATCTTACTTTATTTTTTATTTCAAAACTACTTGAATTAAGGCGGTATTATAAAAAGGAATTATAACATTTACTTAGCTGTCGACTGTGGAAATGACTTAAGAGACTTGTCTAAAGTATCTCCAGGACTCTACGCCCCCTCAGGTGAGTGAAGTTGTCCTTTAGCACACAGCGAGCCGTGGACAGTGAAATGAAGATGCACTTTGTACCAAATACGAAAAGGAAGATTCTTTCCACCCCTGACATTCCTCAAGGGGTGTATTAGTCTGACACTTAAGCCACGAAGGGAGCAATCTTTGGATTCACAAATAGAATCAAGAGGTAAAAAGAGGAGAGGCTTTGATGAAGCACTTGGATGAGATTTCAGAGAGGAAAAAAAGGGCGGGAGAAAAGAAAGATTGAAGAGGATATTTTTGTCCAAGTGAATTTTTAGAAGTGCCGCCCATTTAGCTGTGAAGGACCACCACAGAGTCACCGGGACTCACCCATTGTGTCCTGGGGGGAGGGGTCTGTGGGGCAGGACGGGCGGGGGTGCGAGCCACCAGCAGAGCTCGGCCGCGCCTTCGCCTGGAGCAGCTGTGCCTTAGGGGTCCCGGAAGGAAAAGCCAGAGTGTGCGGAAAGGGAAAACGCAGGCGTGTTTGTATGAGACCAAGTGACTTTGCCAACACACGGTCTTCACACTCATCTGACCCCAGACGGGTTCAGGGTGGCGCGGCTGTGCGCATTAGCATTAAGGCGCCCTCCCTCCCGCTTACTCGGGGAGCATCGCTGAGCCCCCCCTTGCCCCACGCAAGGCGCCCCCACATCCCCGCCAGGGCAGCAGGTGCTGCGCGCCGCCATGGGCAGGCGTGGAAACCGACTGCCACAGCACGCACCAGCGGGCGCCGCGTGAGGGGCAGAGGGCTCGCCCTGCTAGCTGCGCCCTGAAACCACCCTGCCTCCCGCGCCTGAGAGGCCCCTCGTGCTCGAAGGTGTGCTTGGGAGCCGCCATCCGTGCTCCGTGGCGCGTCAGAGTCTTCTGTCGGCATGCATGCGTGCTCCTGTGGGGCGTTTTACTGTCTCCAGCACAGAACAGGAGAGTGGAAGAACAATGGCGCCAACACTACAGAGGAACAGCTAAAAACATGCTGAAGGGTCAGAAGGGACCAACTTCAGTCTGCACGCGCTGTAAGAAGAGCTCCTGCCGGAAGAGCAGGACGGGAAGGAGACGGCCGACGGGAAGGAGACGTCGCGGCAAGTCCTGGCCGCTGCCACCCCTGCGCCAGGGTCAGACGGCACCACAAGCGATGGGGCAGAATGCGTTACGGTTATGAAGCAAGCTTCGAAAGAGCTAAACAGAGTGTGCTCTCTCCTTCCACCCTGACAAATGCAGCTCCACAATTACTTGGAAGGCCAGAGTTGAATCTAGAATTTTCATTCCTACTGGAGGCATCAGCATTGGAAAATCCAGCCCCCAGCCCTGGGGCGTCCGTGCCCCCCCCTGCCCCACTGCTGGCCTCCCACACACGTCTGTGCCGGCGCAGCCTGGACACCCACACTGTGCCCACCTCTTCCAACACGCCTCGGCCACCCTGGGGCCGGGGTGGAGATGCTGGCGGAAAAGAGGTCGGGACAGGTGGTGGAGAGCCTCGGATGCTCAGCGCGGGGTGGGCGTGCTGGGCTGTGTCCTAAGACTTACATGCTGCAGTCTTAGCCCCCAGGACCTCAGTATGGGACATTATTTGGAAACAGGGTCCCTGTGTGTGTCTGTCTCTACAGCCAAATTTCCCCCTTTTCACAAAGACACCAATCATATGTATTAGCTGCCCCCATGTCCCAAACCCTTGCCAGGGACCTCATTCTAAGTCGACTGCTTCAGCGACGACCCTGTTTCCGTGAGTCCCTCTGCTCCTCACTCACGGCCGCGAAGAGTCCCAGGGCACACCCACACCCAACAACGCCGGGAAGAGCCA